TATTTCTTTAAAATTTTAATTTTTCTGTACTCTAATGTTGTAATATAATTCTCTTTTGGTGAATGTATAAACCTTATAAGAAAATCCCACTGTTATAAAAATGTGCCTTTCTCACCCATTAATTTCAGCCAATCTGTTGCATGTGTTTCAATTAGAGTCGAGTTTTCATTATCATATAACCTTGGTTCCTGGCAGTCACACTGGTTACAATCGATAAAGAAATTTATATTTCCCCCTTTTTGTTTTACTCTTACATTCATTGGCTAATTCTGTGTAAAAAATCAAATACTCCGTTGTAATTAAAGAAATATATAAAATGCCACATAACGGAGGTGCACATTGCTGCATTAGGAAGAACCATTTTAGCAGGGATATTTTGGTGGTGTGTTAACCGTGTGTATACCAGAATTTATTTATTAACGCAAAAGTGTGCGCCAGAACTCACTTTCCTGCAAAAAAAAAATTACTGTCATTTTTCTCAGTTCTAACAATGATACGAGTATTTTGAAAATGAGTGTTTTTAGTGGAAAGAGTATGAGAGGCCGTTTGGTAATTGGTAACACTAAAATTGGCTGAATCGGTTGATTCTGATTAAATTTCTGAAGTTCTGCTAAAGTGGTTGAATCTGTTGATTTATGAAAAAATTGTATTTAAAATATATTTTATTAATAAGATAAAAGAAAAATTATATGAACAAAAAACTAAAATGATCCTCTATAGCAACTTCACCCAATATGGCCAGAAAAATAATTCCAATTTTACTTTTTCTTATTACTTACTACACATCTCAACGCGGGAATTTAAAAGTCAAGTGTTCGGTGAATAAGTTGGCTGATAAGCGTGAAAGTCGAAAAATATGGTTACCAAATGAGCTCTTAGTTTTGGAGTTTGACTTTATCTCTCTTTTGGTGCCAGTAGATGTGAATTGTGGTCAAGTTTTACAAAAAATAAATCAAATTAAAAAAAATCATGTTATAATTTTTTTATTTTTTGTTAAGTTTTGTAGACGATAGATTAAAAAAAACATATTTTTCATATGGTTTTTCATATGTTATCAATGTTGCATGTGTCAACAAAAAAATTGGCTAAAGGGTCATAGGTACATGAACTAACTTAAAGTGTTCAATTAGCCCCTTCTATAGGATGTTCTGCCTAGGTTGGACTCGGGTCGGGTGACCTGACCCGGAACCGGCACTGTTCTGGCCCGGCCCGGCCCAGTGGCCCGGTCAGTGACGGTTCGGGTAAGCCCGAACTGCTGGGGTTCCGGTCCGGGCTTGGGCCCCTCAAAACGTGAACCGGCCCGGCCGGTTCGGGCCCGGCCGGTCCGGGCCATTTTAGTTTTTTTTTTTTTTTTTTTTTTGAATTTTTTTTATGTTTTTGGGTTGGGATGGGTATTTTGGGTCATTTGAGATGGTTTGGGGGTGAGGGGGGTGGTTAGGGGTTAATTAGGAAAAGGCAAAAAAAAAAAAAAAATGAACCGAGGCCCGGCCCAGACCCAGGGGTTACCTGGGCCGGTTCCGGGCCTCCCCTTTCCTGAACCGAGGCCCGGCCGGGCTCAGGCCCGAACCGGGCCCGAACCGGCCCGGGTCCATGCCTAGTTCTGCCCGGCCGTCGCCAATTGGGGCGGTTCCCAATGGAATTTTTTGATGAATTTTTTTGAGCATCTTCTTCATTAAGTCTAGTTTATCCATACCAAATTTCAGCTAAAAATTCAACCGGGAAGGCAGTCAAATGATTTTTTGAAGATAAAAATTCATTAAGTCTAGTTTATCCATACCAAATTTCAGCTAAAAATTCAACCGGGAAGACAGTTAAATGATTTTTTTAAGATAACTACGCAGTTAAACAACGCAGTACATTTTGGAAAATTATTTGACTGTCTTCCCGATTTAATTCTTAGTTAAAATTTGATATGGGTAAACTAAACTTAATGAAGAAGATACTCAAAAAAATTCATCAAAAAATTCATCAAAAAATTCAACCGGGAACCGTCCCAATTGGTGACGGCCGGGCAGAACCTCCTGTATAAGGGGCTAATTGAACACTTTAAGTTAGTTCATGTACCTATTTGACCCTTTAGCCTCTTATATTTCCATTATTTATAACCTCCCCGTTTTGGTTGGAGACATTTAACCTTTGAGAGACAACACAAATGCCATTGCCATCACTCAGAACCCTGTGCTGCACTCCAGAACAAAGCACATTGAGGTCAGACATCACTTCATCAAAGATCATGTGGAGAAGAAGCATATTTCCATGGAGCATGTTCCAACAGAAGACCAGCTAGCAGATATCCTAACCAAACCTTTCTCTGAGGCAAGGTTCAATAAGCTGAGAGAAGAGCTGGGCATGATGGATGATATTCCTAGAGATTCTTGAAAGAAAGCTATTCTTCCTAACCTAACCTAACCTCATACGTACTCATGGACTCGGGCTGGGCCCGGCCGGGCTTTTTTTTTGGGAAGGAAGAACCGGAACCGGCCCGGGTAGGCATCGGTTCCGGGCCGGTTCATGTTATTTTTTAAAAAAATTCTTTTGCTTTTCTAATTAACCCCCGACCCCCCCCCCCCTCACCCCACCCCCAAACCCCCCCAAAACACCTAGACCAATCCGGAAGAAACCAAAAAAATTGAAAAAACCCAAAAAGAAAAAAAAAAAAGAAATAGACCGGACCGGTTCCACTTTTAGGAGGCCCGAGCCCGGCCCGATTATTTCCGGGCTCGGGTGGCCCGGACCGGTCCTATAACCGGTTACCGGGCCATGCCGGGCCCAAATAGTACCGGTACCTGGCCGGTTCCGGGCCGGGCGGCCCGACCCGAGTCCATGACTAAGCATGTCATGTGACATGACAATCATTTTTCTCTGTAATTGTTATAGTCTTTTCATTTGTGATCCGATTTTTATAAATAATATATCAAATTAAATAAGTTTTATTATTTTTCCCATGAAATCAAATGTCGCTTATTTAAAAGAAATGGTTAAGTTTGACTTGTGCATAAAAAATAAAGTAAATATTATGTGGTTGAAATTTGGAAAAGAATATGGAAATAATTTTAATCACATTTTGAGTATTTATTACTTCAAGTGAAAATGACAATTTTATTGGGATCTCTAAATAAGAAAATTTGGCAAAATTATGAGAAGAAAAGGGTATTTTTTGTCTATGCCTAGATTTGGAGGGGCGAGAGTGATGTTGAGGATCAACAAAATAGAACTCCTCAAAACCGATTGAGTTTCAGAATCTGAGACTAGAACCCCACCCTTAATATCACACCCCCACCACCATCATCAGTCCCAAAGGATGATGAAGAGAAAAGTTCATAAAGGCACAAATAAAAGCAAGGAGGCAGTTGTCAATGTCTTCTTTTCTAAAAGCATTATCCACAATGATAGATGGAGGCATGGAGCTGATCCAATTTGGATTCAAATTATGAATTAACTGATTTTGGATCTAACGTTTTTGCTACCAGTAACCGTTACTTCAAAAACAGGCTTAATCCCATTCCGGGTCTATTTTGAAGGAACCCAGGAACCCTAACTGGTTTGGACAGAATGTGATTCCAATCCAAGTCTGTTGCAATGAGTAACATGTTCGGTTCTTTACCTTTCTGGTTTAGTTCCGAAGCCGGGGCGGGGCAAGGTCCACCCATCTATAATAATACATTAACAGGTAGTACTGAACTTCTGATTTTGATAATGAATGTCAATGTTGCTTGAAACATATCTTATTTAGGAATCTGGATAAGTATGATTAAGACTAATTATTGTTTTTGAGGAATGATTAAGATATCTCGATGAAATAGTTCAGATTTTTTCAGGTTTATGTGTCTTACGAAAGCCCTTCCTTTTGGCCTTTTCATGACTTATTAATAGCTCGCTTAGTAACATTCAAAGTGATAAGTATGTTGAAATTGATGAAAATATATATTGTTGATGAAATAAAGAAAGAATTATACAAAATAGTACTTATAAAACACAATGCGACAAATCAAAAGTTATGTAATTAATAAAAAGTTGATTATAAGAATAATGAGGTGATAAGCTGAAAATGTGGATTATAAAAAAGACTTTATATTTTGTTCATTCTTTTCTTTTTTATGGGCCTATTGCCAATTGGCAACAACTAAGAATGCCATTTCTTTCAATGAAAATATTACCGAGAATAACCCTATTTATTATCTATTTGCTTTAAGTAATGTCAAATATGGACTATTTCAAAATAATTTTATTTAATGGGTCATGTTTCAATAAAACTCTTTAAGGATAATAATTTCATATTTCCTTTTTGAATTGTCTCACATAAACGATAAGTTGTTTTTTGTGTGGCAAATGTTCTTACATGATTCATAATTAATCATTTTTATAGCAAGCTACAATTATGCATGTCATTTCAACTTTACTTACTTTTTTACTACTATAGTAAAGGGAGAGTAGTTTAGTTTTATAGTTTTTATTTCAGAATGGAGGTAACAAACTGTAGCTCAAGTAAAATTCAACTATGTGCACCACTCTTGTTATTACTATATTGATAATTAATGTAATTTATCCAAATTTAATGTAAAGTATAAGAATCCTCCGTAATAAACACAGTTATATAAGTACTTCTAAGTTTCTAACCTTCAATAGGAGGGAGGAAATTAACTATCAGTTAAAAAGATGAAAATTGAATGAATTAACTATAATTGAGATAATTAAAATTTAGCTCGTTGAGGTTTATTCCTTCAATCCGGGGGCCAACACATAACCCAATGAGTTCGATTGGAAGAGTGTGTGAGAATCAGGAGTGCAAGCAAGTAGGATGAGCTCAAATATATCTGCAGCAGTGGTCGTATCTTATTAAATGATAATAACTTAATAAGGGTCTGTATACAACACATTAAGCTACTTTTCTGAGGTCGTTCGTCTTTCTCGCTAAGTAAGAGCTGCGAATAAAAGCTAGAATGCTAGAATGATAGGGAGAATAAATTGTCAACCTTTTTCAATGAAATAAATGTTACTATTTATACTACCAAGGGGTAGTAGGTGTGCTGACGTGGAGAGCTGTGGATGGGTAGACTCCCAACTACCAAATCTCCAGCATTAATTGCGATTTCAGCCAGAATCTTGATTTCCCGCCAAGCTTTGGGGACGAGCATCCCCGTGGGTCTTGGGCCTTCTCCTGGCAATGGGACAGGGGGAGAAGCCGAGCATCTCCACCACATCGCTGGTGTGGATGATGGAGTGTGCTAGGTAGCCTCGATGGCCAAGGCTCCTGAGGCCGAGCGTCCTAACAAGATACGAACGTCTGTTTTGCCTTGGGTTGTTGTGGATAACCGCCCTCGGTAGGTCCTTGGGTCTGGCGGCGAGCGTCTGGTACTCCTTTCCTGTTGGGCCTCGAGGTTCTTGGTCCAAGGGGATAATGGGACGATCCCTGGTTGGGCCATTAACAACATAGCTCTAAGGATTAATAAATTTTATCAATGCAAATCACTCAATAGAAGGTTAGTTGAAACTTGAAAGATTAGAATTAAAGTAGAACAGTCATATTTTGAGAGTTGGAGTTATTCTCATCGTAAATGGTTTAAGCTCTGTTTGCAATCACTTAAAATAAGTGATTGTAGCTTTTTTTAAAGAAAAAAGCACTTATTTTACCAAACACTATCAATTTTTACTTTCTCGATTTTCGTGTAGAATCTACTTTTCACTTTTTCTATTACACAAAAAACACTTATTTTACCAAACACTATCAACTTTTACTACTGATCATTTTTTCCTAAAAAGTGCTTTTATTTAAACACAACTACACAAGTGATCGCAAACAGAGCCTTAATAAGAATTGAAAGAGTTGGATGAAATAAAATAAAAATCCAAACTAAATTAAAGTGTCACATTACGTACAAAACTAAATAAGTACTCCGTAAAAAACTAGACCATATAGAACCAGTTGTATCATATCGTTGGATGGGCGTTTTGTGCGTAGTCAGTCCTATGCAGCAGGAACGGTGCAAGTATAAGAGCCTGTTTGTGGCCTATTTTTTCAACTTATCATGGTTATCAGCCCGTTTTTTTATTAAACACGTAACTTTTTATTTCGCGCACTGAGTTTTGGATGAAGTTACGGTAGATGATCAGTTTAGCTATTCTTTCATATAATTTTTTATTTAATTTATTAATATCAAATGTTTTAAATATAATTTTTTCATGAATCAGCAGAATCAGCCAATACAGTCACTTCAGCCAAAACTTTATAAATTTCAATAGAATCAGCCGATACAACCAATTTTAGTTTTCCAAAAGGTCTCTAAGTAAGTTTTGTTTAACTACTTCTGGTGGTAGAAGTGCTTGATGCAACTTATGTAATACTTTCGTGTAATCTTTTATGCTATATTTTATGTAAGTGATGTAATAAAAGATATAAATACGTATAAATAAAGTGACAGAGGTTTTAATATAAATAGCCTATATTTGGTGTGAATGTAATACGTAAATGATATGTTTTAAGATACTCGTATGTGATTAATTTGTAAACGTTATATTATTTATCGACACAAAAGCTACACGTTTGATGTACATGAATGTATATAAAATATAAATTGTGTTTTCAAAGATTTGAGTCACGTTATAGTGTTATACAAAATGTAAATTATGTTTGTCAAATATGTAAGTGACGTTATATTGGTAAAAAAAATCACTATATAAAATGAAAACCACGTGTATCAAATGCGTAAATATTTGGTAGAACTCGATGAACTTTGTTGGAATGCAATGAACTTTGTTGGATTTCAATATGAATCACACGAATTGGAATATATTGTATATAAGGTAGACCCCCAAGTTTTTATGTTGTTGCCTTTTTGTTTTATTGTATTTCGAAGATGTTTGTATTTTTTGGGAGGTTTTGGCTTATTCCCCTCATTTCTTGTATCTCTCTTCTTTATAATAAAATATGGTAAATATTTCCTGGCATTTACACCACTGATTTTGGTGGATTCCTTCCGGATTCAAAAATAAAAATAAAAATAAGGTATAACTTGATGAAAAGTTGTAGACTCTCAAATACAAATATGAATTATTATTTAAAATTGACAAAACCTTAGTTGTAAATTGATTTAGAAGAAGAATTATAGATTTTTTTTATAATTTAATTTGAAGATGAAGAACATGCACAAAGTCATGGTTGAATTATTAGTACTTTGATTAATTGAAGAAGAAGATAATTGAAGAAGATCCGAGAGAGAAAAATGACAACTAAAAAAGGACCATAAGATTGGAGCAAAAATGAATATGGAAAAAGGATGTTACAACCATAACCACACACTAAAGATCGATATTTAATAGGCAAAAGCTATTGGTACACACTTTTTGTACACTTTTTGTGTACACCCTCCTAGTTGTCTGTATACACATGTAATTCGTTAAGAAGTTGCCATGTAAACAGACAATTGGATAGGATATATACAAAATGTGTACAAAAAGCGTGTACACCAAACAACATCTATTTAATAAGCAAAATGACACCACAATGAAATATGTATTACATGTGCGTGATGTAATAATTCCATAGTATAATTTATCATATATAATGAGTGAAAAGATGAGCATGATACATTTTAACTTCATATCTTTCACAATTTGATCATTTGACATGCGAACTTTTTTGGAAATTTTATTACTTTGTAGTTTGTACGGAGTATTAGTTTCTCCATCCACCTAAGTTTGGTACAAGAGGAGAAAATACGGTTATTAAAAAACTGAATTTACGTGATTGATATTGAATCAATCAAGTGAAAATAAAATAGAAAACGATTTATAATCACAAAAATATTAAAAAAATATCACATTTAGTATGAGACAATTTTAATGAGACCTATTATTCATTCAAGCTTAACATTCTCAAAGTGATCATATATCATTTATTAATTCTTCCCTGAAAATTAGGGAATATATGGAGTAATATGGAATGTAAGCGATAGAACTTAATTGGTAAAAAGGTCGCATTTAAACTACTCCGCATATATCTTCATGTCTGATCAGCCTTCACTTTTATTTCCCATCATCTTTTCTTTTGCGTTCCTTTTACTTTATCTTCTTTTGCATTTTACTAATTCATAGTAAACGCTCACGACCCTTTTCCCTCCTATGACAACTTAAATAAAAGGTTGATTTCATAGCTATCTTGATGAGACATTTTATTCTGCAGCAGTTGTTATATTTCAAGCATTGACTGGAGTCAAAAGTGGGAGAATACACTCTAATTCATACTGTCAAAATCAAAAGTTTTGAAACACTAATTGTAAACCAAAACCACTTATCTATGAGTATACACTCACAAAGAATACCATAATTAATTCTATAAAACAATCCGGCTAACCGTTTTGTTTGGTTGAATGTCATATGCTATTAATACTTAGTGTCATATGTCACTACTATATTACGTAGTCGTATTTTACCCAAACTTTTTGTAATTTTCAAACTTTTTTAGTCCTATTTAGGGAACTTTCACTTATAAAAGAGATTACCCAAAATAGGACTAAAAGAGTTAGAAAATTCCAAAATAGAACTATCATGTTTTTATCCCCAAAATAGGACTAATTACTATCAGGTTTTGGCAGTACCAGACTTCAAACATGGCAGTATTTTCCAAACTTGGCAATAATTACTTCTATTTTGGGAATAAAAACATGATTGTCCTATTTTGGAATTTTCAAACTTTTTTAGTCCTATTTAGGGAACATTCCCTATAAAAATGTTAAACTTCATTCTACAATTAAGTTATTAGTTTGTATTTGTAAAAAGTTTGAAGTACATTTAAAAATAGAGACCGATACAATGATACTGACTAAATGGATGATGATATGGATGATGATTTAAAAAATATTATGATGATATGGATGATGATTTACAACTTCTCTCTGACTTGAGCAGACTACACAAACGGTGAAAGATTTAAAAAATATTATGATGATATGGATGATGATTTACAACTTCTCTGTTTTTATACATTTATTCGAATAGAAAACTTATCACATACTTTAATTTTAATGTTATTAATTTGTAGGAGAACAATAATAAGTAGATAATAAAATACTCCGTATAATCTATATAATATAATAAAGCAAACCTCTAAGGAATTTTTAGATGAATTTTTGACATGTGGCAAAACTCTTCTTAACGAATTTGACATGTGGCAACACCTATGAAAGAATAAGTGAACAACTGAATTGAAATGTGATGCCCAAGCATCATGTGAAACTATTCGGAAGATATAAACGGTCAACACATTTATATGTATACAACTATTTGGTTTCCGATGAGAAAGAAAAACTATTCAGTTTCCAATGAAAAAAAGACTCTTTGCCAGGAACAATTTTATGGAGAGTATTTTTTGGCCAAAAGTCAAAAGCTCACTTAAAACATAACATTAGGATTTGTGTTTGGTAACCTTACCTTAGTTCTTCATAGATCAATTGTTGAATTTTTATTATTCAAGTCTTATAGTGTTGTTTTAAAAAAAAAAGGTCTTATAGTGTTATTATTGATTCGATTCCTTCAATTATTATGGTAGAGACAATTTTGATCTTGAACATAAATATTTAGTCACAAATAGTCCACTTATTATTGCCAAAATCAAGTTTTTAGTCCTTTAACTAGGATTTTGGAGTAGAAAAAAACAAATGACACCATGATAATAGTTGGAGGATAAAAGTGCAACTTTTGTATAAAAAACTAATAAGTGAATATGGAAAACTTCAAAGATAACCACTTTTGGTACCTATCTAAGATAGGTACCAAAAGTTTTTTTTGCATAATAGTCAAAGGACTAAACAAAATTGAAAATGAAGTATCAAAAATGTCATTCACAAAATAGTCAAAGGACTAAAGGTATCAAAAATTCCATTGATAACCGCTTTCGCGGCGTTGTAGTAAAACGGAGTCTAACCTTTCGGTTTTTCCCCGAGTATCGTGTCTCTCGAGGAATGGCGGAGGGGCTTCTTGATTTTAAGTCCAGTCACAGGTTATCGCAAATTATTGGAAGCCTTCCAAATTAAAACTTTTGATTGATTTTCTAAACTACTTTTTGGAAAAGAAAGTAAATTAAATTGTGCAAATACTAATGATGGCTCAAAATTAAACTAAAGGAAAAAAAATATAATATTAAACTTAAATGGATTGATGCAAATAAGGGCAATGAATTGAGTAATTAGAAATGGATATATTCTTGGACCTAGTAATTAGGGGAATTAAAACTAAAATTGGACTAATAATTTCTTTCCTCATAGACAAGAATAGAAACTATTTTCATTAATTTATCCTATTTCTAGGTGTCATTAATGTGTTAAAAATGGTTGGCTTGAATTAAATTCTAACCTCATAGACAAGGTAGAAATAATTCTCCAATATTTTAATTAATAAAAATAGCCAAATTCATTAACTAGTTAAACTCATTATTTAAGCAATTGAATTTATCTCTCATAGACAAGATGTAAATCCCTTTCATTAAATTATCCTATTTCTAGGCCTTATTAATGTGCTCGAATATGGTTGGCTCAAACTATTTTCTAATCTCATAGACAAGTTAGAGATAATTTTCCAAGAATTTAATTAATGAATATGGCTAACAATTATTAATTACTATTTCATCATTTCAAACAACTAGTCCAAATTATTAATTTTAATCCCTAAATTTTTTGTCAACAAGTCAATCCATATTCCTTTAGTCAATTCATGCCCAAAACAAATTTAGCTAATAAAGATCATTTTAACAATTAACAATATAATGAATATATTCAACATTAACAAGGAATTAAACATGGATGATAGCAAAAATTATATTATGGAACAATAAACTTGTAGACACTAAAGTATAACTTTCTGGAATTTTTCACGAATTTTTGAACCTAAAATCCAATTTTAACAACTAATTGATAATTTTCCCAATTTTAACTAGAAAATGCAAAAAGCAACTAAAATTATTCTAAATTCGTTCTAAATTTTATATTGACTACTGGGAGTGATATTAATGTGAATTAAACTGGAATTAGGACATAAACTAATTTTTTTACCTTTTTGAGTATTTAATTTAATTTATGCAATAATAACAACTAAATGCCGGAATTAATTAAAATTTACTTCTACTTCGTAAAAATTAACTTTGCTTTGATAAATAACTACCTTGAGGCTAGTAAACAACTATATAATTAATTGGAATGGATTTAATGTCAACAACTATTTTATTCAAATTTAAGAAGAAAATGCGAAATAGTGGAATAATTTTCTGGAAATTTTAGAAGCACAGATAGAAAAAACTAAATACAGATTCAGATTCTACTCATTGAAAGGATGAAAATACATATAAAGAACTCACAATTTGGAGCTAAAATGAGAAACATATGAAAGATTGAAGTTGAAGGTGCAACAATGGTGGAAATCCGAGCTTTGAGGAGGAAGAAGACCCCCTTTTTGATCTGATTTGGACTTGAAATTGGTGTGTTTTAGTTCAGCAAAAATCGGGCTATTTATAGGACAAATTTTCCCGTAGGCGCCCAAGCAGGCGGCCGCCTTCCGTCGGCATCTGGCCGCCTTCCGTAGGCGGCCAACCAGGCGGCCGCCTTTGGTCTCATTTTGGCCGCCTTCCGTCTAATCACCGGCAGACCGGATCCGGCGAATCCCGGCCGCCGCAGGCGGTCCAGCAGGCGGCCGCCTGCCGTTCCTGTCTGGCCGCCTGCCGTCGATTCTCACCGGCCGGTGGTTGGTTTCGTCCCCTTGTGCCGCAGGCGGCCACCGAGGGCGGCCGCCTTCTGCCCGGTGTCGGCAGCCTTCGGTCTTTTCCTGGTTCCGAGTCAAAGTGTAGGTTGACTTTTGATTTTTCCGAAGGCGGCCAACCAGGCGGCCAGATTGGGGGCCTTTTTGGGTGCCTTCTGATAAATTTGTCTGGCAGATGCGGCTTTTCCTGCTCTTCAACTTTGTCTTCTGAATCACCTTGATATAATGCTTGCTTCTTCCGGTATGAATTCATTTGTCACTCAAATTGACTCATTTTGTGCTCAATTGACCCGAAATTCCGGCAAACATATTATGAACGTGGTTTTCACCTGATTTCATGAAACTTGAACCAAAATATATAAAATGTGCCTTGTTTTTCTATTTTTCAATCCAGAATCGCTTAAATTTGATAAGAAAAATAAGTACATAAATGGACTTATCATCCATACACACACATATCACACTAACAAATCAGATTAGCCCAAATTTAAACAAATCAAATTTGAGCACACTTAAATAGAGTAAAAGGGATTAGAAATTTTCATTCCATAACAAAACCATTCACCCAATTCAAGAAAAAAAACACAACTATAATTACTAACTATGTATTTATTCTTTCAATAAAACTACTTCATATTATCATTATTATTAAGTAATCAAACCGGCTTCACGAAAACTTGAATACACAATCACGACAAGTGAGATAATACGGTCGTCTCCTAGGCACGTCCTAGGTTTTTTTCCGGCGGCGGCCTATCCAAGCCGTGGGTTCGGCCGATCTCTCCCCAGCAGGCAACTTATCTCATATATCTTCTCATGGTATTGAGTTTTGTTGTCATCGCGGGGTTTGTTTGGTTCGTTTTTGTTTTCTTTCTGACTTGCAAGTGCGGTTAATCTGGATTCTGTCTGGACGAAGCTTTTGGTTTTTCTGCTTTACAAGAGCAGCGAACAAGCGAGGATGCTGGTTTTGGCAGAGGACGGGTTTAGTAAGGCCACAAGGGGAGGATGGGGTGCTGCAGAATGTTGAAGATGAAGTCGAGCTATTACTCTTCGGCAGTTTGAGAACGAGCTTTGACGAAACAGATGGCTATTGGTGAAAGCATGGAGTTTCCGGTGGTCGACATCGTGCTGTCGGACTGGAAAAATCAAATTTCAGGGGTTCATTGGTGGCCTATGTGTGACATAAGACGATGGGATGTTGATCCGTCCACCTCCAGAACCGCCGCCTTGGAGGAATTCTGCGACTAGGGTTTGGACGAGTATTTCTATTTCTGCTGAGTCGATTGTGTTTTGTTTTTATTTTATTTGATTGTGTTTTGTTGCTTATTTATTTTATGCTGTAAGACTTTTGCACTTGGATTGGGGGATGAGAGGCATGCGGTAATCATCGTGGTTTTGAATATGCCCAATTTAGGATTAGCGAGTTATATTGCTTTGTCAAAGGTGATTAACTCAGAGTCTCGTCCACGGGCGGATGGTTACATGTGATCCTTTTGTTATTTCAACCCCTTTCTGAGTGCTTTTTATGAATGAATGTCCGTTCGATGATTAAAAAAAAGTAATCAAACAAAATAAAAATTTACGCATATGCTATGTCCGTTCTTTCACAAATGACGAATAATGTAATCTTCTATATAATTCATATTTTTAATTAAAGCATTGATCCCATCTATAAATTTGTCACTAACAACATCTCCAATTGAAGAAAAAAATTCTGAAATGGATTTGCTCAATAATTTTTGCTAATTCAACCTGAAAATTATTACTTATTTTGCTTGGCTACATAACTCACCATATAGTGTCAAAAAATTAAGACGAGTTAAAAAATATGAAAACAAGCCTTTCACCGTACCATACTAACCCTCACAAAATAGGAAAATAAATGTATCTCAAATTCACATTTTAAAATGTAATCCAATGATGGATACAATTCTAAAGTCGGAGAAGTAGAAGTTCATTTTGATTGATTTATAAAATGTTCATTTTTTCACACATCAAAAATAGAATATCTTACAAAATCAATGGAAAATTGATATATTTTATTTACGCGTTAAATTAACACCAACATGCATACAAAATCGATTGGCAAAATTTATAATTTCACGTCCATTTCTTTATTACCCATTTCTACCATACGTACAAGCAAATAAAATTACCCATTTCTACCATACGTACAAGCAAATATATATTGTGCCATTTCTTTATTGGCACAATATATATTGGTCGGTCTAATATAATCAAGTCTATTTAATTTTGATATTGTCTCATTTATTGACCAGACTTTAGATAAAACCAATTAATGAGTGGGTACGTCCAATATATTAAAAATAGAGAATTCTCTAAATAGGAGTAAAAACGTTTTGAAATTAAAAAATAAGACTATCATGTATTTTATTCTCTGGATAAGAGTAAATTTCTGCCAAGTTTGGCATTACTAGGCTTTAAACATGACATTTTTTTTCAAACTTGGCAGATTACTTTCAGAAAAAGACAAGAGATAGTCCTATTTTGAAATTTTAAAACGTTGTTACTCCCATTTAGGACAATTTCTTTCAGAAAAAGAATATTTGTACACATTCTGATGCATTTTGTTACACACTATGTAATACTACCTCCGTCCCCCTAAGTTTGGGACAAGAGAAGGTGGCACGATTGTTAATAAAAGTGGATTTATGTGATTCATATTGAATTGATAAAGTAAGAATAAAGTAGGAATGATTTAGAGCCACACAAATTTTACCAAATAAGCTATAGGACTATCTTAGTGGGACGGACCTAAATGGTAAAATGGGACAATCATAGCGGGACGGAGGGAGTACTACGTAGTACGGAGTATATTTTTCCTCTTCCATTTCTGCCTCCTATCTCTTCTCTCTTCTCCCTCTCCGATCTCCACCCATTCCCATCCGGATATCCAATTAAAGATGCCACCGTCCTCTCCTCCTCTTCTCTTCTTCATCCTCCTATTCAATTCTCCCTTCTCCCCTTTTCAACAATTCTCTCTTCCCCTTATCCAATTAAAGATGCCAACATTTCATTTCTATTTTCTTCCATAAATTGCAACACATATATCATCTCTATTTTCTGTTTCAATCTTTTTTATTTCTCTTTCAATTTTTTCAAATTACATGTAAATTGGTCACACACATAAATGCATCATTCATCATTGTCCGTACAGATAATTAAAATTGATCACACGGACAATTAAAGTTATTTAGTCCGACAACTAATGTATCTGAGTAGAACAAGTATTTTCCGCTTGATAAAATCTATTTGAAAACATATACCTTAAACTGAGCACGCAAGCCCTTTTAAAATCTATAAATTCCAAGTGACATCTGTTGTTGTAAACAAAACAACTATTGGCGGTGCCATAAACGTGTACACATATATGGTAAGGCTTTGAGTATGTATCAAAAGGAAAATGACGTTATAACGTAGGTAAGTTATAATCTTAGACCTTTTTCTTAGGTAAGTTATAATCTTAGACCTTTTTTTATGGGCCTTTAGATCGAATTATTTTATGAATTTTTGTGAGCATGTTCTCCATGAAGTGTAGATTATGCATACCAAATTTCAGATTAAAATTCAATTGGAAAGTCGGTTAAATAATTTTTTCAAAATTGTGCAGGTTTTTATATATTTAAAATGCGGTTTTTTTCAATATTTTGTTCAACTGACTTCCCGATTGAATTTTATTGTGAAACTTGGTGGACATAATCTACAATTCATGAAGAACATGCTCACAAAATTTCATCAAAAATTTCAACTCGAAAGAACCTCAAATGAAAGAGGCCTAAAAATTACGAACGGTTAGACCTATCTTACTTACTTGAACATTGTCCATATATATCATCGTGGTTTTATTGTATTCGGAATTGAAAATATGATTATAGCACTTAAAACTTGTTTGAGTGAGTTGGTGGGTTTAGAATCAATTGATTCCACAAATTGTTGCTTGGTTCTTTATCCTACACTAAGGTCCTCTTTAAACAGTGGCGTACATATAAAATTATAAATGATGATAAGAATGGATCTTTAAGAAAAAGTAGAGGCTCCCGTCAATTGAACCCACTTAAAGTGTTGGCAATTTTACATTTGGCATGTGTTTATTCACTCGAGCAATGACCCTTCTGGGTTGGAGTCCTTCGGTGGTACGATGATAGCGAGTAGACGAGGGAGTGGTGTAACTATTAGCAACTGTGCTAGAGGTACCCCATTTTGGGGTACCCCATTCTTACACCACACATTGTGTGGTCCAAATGAGGCCACACTTAAAAGTGTTGCCCCACTTAAAAGTATTGCTCCAATTGTGACCACAAAATAGGGGTGGGGTATAAAATGGGGTACAAGTTGGGGTGCCTTTAGAGTTTTTCAACTATTAGTAAAAGAAGTACTATATCTAAATTAGTGATTAGAATTACCATGTTTTTTGGGGCAAACCTTTCTAACCCTTTTTAATATTTGTTCTCTTAAGGCCAACATCTTTGAACTGGGATGATACTCGAACTTGTGATCTTCTCCTTAAGAGTGTCACAGTGATGTAATCAAACCACAAGGTACTTAACATTAGAATTACCATGTTTAATATAAAAAAGTATTTTATTACACAAATTAATTCTAATTATTACTGGAAAAAATTAGTTACTTAAAGCTAAACAAGATTGATCAAATTAGCTTCAAGTT